TACCAGAATCCCAAAAGTCACTGGAAGATATAAAGGTCTGGATAGAAGCCAGAGGTTTTGTAATCTTTGTAATGATAACTGTATTGGCGGTGAGTTTCATATCCTGTTTGAGTGTAAAAATGTAAGTATAATGAAACTTATGCCAAAGTATTATATAAATCGTCCATCTATGACTAAGTTAATTTTGTTATTACAATCCAATAAGCTAAAAGTAATTTGTAAATTAGGTGCGTTTTTGAAGAGCGTCCTTGCTTTATTTAAGTAATACATTTATTTTGTTTTTGTTGCCGGGATGAGAGAATTTGTACAGCCTTGCTACTAGCTATGTTTGTATAATTGTTTTCGTATAGCTGTGCTCCATACCATCATCATGGTCGTGAGTTAAATAAATAAATGAAAAAATGAAATGAAAAAAAATATAATGACTGTGATATGAGCTTACAAGTAAAGGCAGGAAAAGTACCCCAAAAAGGCCTAGGGCCCAAAGGGTTAAAGGAGAAGTCCGGTATTTTGCACTTTGAGTCCCATTTCTGGGTTGTTTATGATTGAATAGTGGTTAAGACCAAAATACTGATGATTGCTCATTTTGGGAGAATTTGGCTTTCCCCTGCCTGGCTTAACAGTGCTGCCAATGGCCATGTGTGAACCTGTCCTAAAACCACCCTAAACGTTCGTTTTCAAAGCCATGAAACTCACCAAGTGGTCAGTGGTGTTCGTTGAAACTGTGGTTTCAGTGATGATTTGTTTGACATTTTGTGTAATCCATTGGTTTTCTATAGGAAGGCTCATTGTCCCTTGGTAGTAATTCGCCAGCGGAAACGGAAAGGGGGTTGTTAACGACAAGGTTGTAGTCATTGTAGTCTTGTAGCTCAGTGATATTGCCAGCTCGACAGTGCTGTGTGCGCTCCTGGAGGAAGAACGAGAACGAACGGAAAAGTTTTGTAATAAGTTTAAACAACTGTACAATGGATTACTCGCTTGTAAACAACCTTCGCAGTACGATGCCTTTGAACACAACGCCAGCCTTCTTCTTCTGCTTCTTTTCTGTGTCCCTTTACTTTGCAATGGTTTCCTGCCGGTTGGCGACAACTGTACAATGGATTACTCGCTTGTAAACAACCTTCGCAGTACGATGCCTTTGAACACAACGCCAGCCTTCTTCTTCTGCTTCTTTTCTGTGTCCCTTTACTTTGCAATGGTTTCCTGCCGGTTGGCGACAACTGTACAATGGATTACTCGCTTGTAAACAACCTTCGCAGTACGATGCCTTTGAACACAACGCCAGCCTTCTTCTTCTGCTTCTTTTCTGTGTCCCTTTACTTTGCAATGGTTTCCTGCCGGTTGGCGACAACTGTACAATGGATTACTCGCTTGTAAACAACCTTCGCAGTACGATGCCTTTGAACACAACGCCAGCCTTCTTCTTCTGCTTCTTTTCTGTGTCCCTTTACTTTGCAATGGTTTCCTGCCGGTTGGCGACAACTGTACAATGGATTACTCGCTTGTAAACAACCTTCGCAGTACGATGCCTTTGAACACAACGCCAGCCTTCTTCTTCTGCTTCTTTTCTGTGTCCCTTTACTTTGCAATGGTTTCCTGCCGGTTGGCGACAACTGTACAATGGATTACTCGCTTGTAAACAACCTTCGCAGTACGATGCCTTTGAACACAACGCCAGCCTTCTTCTTCTGCTTCTTTTCTGTGTCCCTTTACATTGCAATGGTTTCCTGCCGGTTGGCGACACCCACGTAAAGGAGCATTGTCACCATCAAGTTGGCTGGAGTGTATACAATTCAGGGTCAAATGAACGATCAAGTGGAAGTTTACACACGGGTGTGAGGCAGCTGAAAAAATAATTCCACAATTGAGAGCTTTAAAAAAAGAACGTTTAGGGTGGTTTTAGGACAGGTTCACACATGGCCATAGGCAGCACTGTTAAGCCAGGCAGGGGAAAGCCAAATTCTCCCAAAATGAGCAATCTACACTATTTTGGTCTTCATCATATACAACCTAGAAATGGGCTCAAAGTGCAAAATCCCAACTCCTCCTTTAAGAGATATAGGAACCATATTAATGAAACATTCAGTCTAAGTCCTGTCAAGAGGTGTTTTAATAGTGTAAAACCAAACAAAGCTCATTTTTGTAGATTGATCATCAACAGAAATCGACTGCAAACTAGAATTACTGCTCCACCGGTATATGCCTCTGCACACCAGTCAAGTTTCTCTTACAGTTTCACATGTCTGTGAAAACATGGATGCTTCATACACATTTCCCCCCAGCAGCACAGAAGATCTATACAATCAGCACAGTTTCAAGGTGGACACCCAAGATGAGCGTCACCAATTCAGTATCAGACCAAATGTCTCCCCCTCTGCTTCTGAGATATGACAATGAGTAATGGCCAGAAAATTGTTCTTGCAGAATATTATGATGTCACAGTGAAGGTGACCTTTGACGTTTTGAATATAAAATGTCACCACCACTTTTGCAGGAGGTTTTGTTATAATTAGCATAAGAATTCTTAAGTTATGGCCAAAAACATGTTTTGTGAGGTCACAGTGACCTTGACCTTTGACCTTTGGCCACTGAAATCCAAATTTATTGTTGAGTCCAAGTGGACGTTTGTGCCTTTCTTCAAGGTGGTCTTGAGATATCACATTATCAAGAACAGGGCAGACGTATGGACATATAGACAACCTGAAAACATAATGCAGGCATTAAAAAATATATGCAAAATATCAACCTCTACACAAACCTAGTAGGACGAGTGTCCTACCTTAGCTTTCCTCGGATGCTTGTAGGAAAACTCTACAACACCCTGTCATTGTTAAGTCACATGCTTCCACCTCATCCAGTATTTGTGCAAATTCACTGTAGAGGTAAAAAAGGCATATGGTGAATTGATTTTTGTTTTGTCTTACTAATCTGCCTTGCATTTCACAGTTGAAGCACATACCTGGAAGCTGAGAACACAGATTGAATAGAAAGTTAAATTATTAGTCTTGTAGCGACTGCTATCAATAAAAAGCAGCTGAGAGGCTTAAGTGGACTCGCATCTGTGACTCGTTCCTTCATTGAATCAGTCCACTTGACAGTTTTATAAGTTTTATTTAGCAAACAAAAGAAAGACTTACAATGCTGTGATCCGACATGACGGTCAACAGAAAATATCAGAGCTCACTCAACCCTATTGTCTCCATTCCCGCCAGGGATTTAAATGCCTGGTTAAATAACTTAAACTGCACCCATGTGTCAACCACTGGATGTGACATACAGTACAGGCCAAAAGTTTGGACACACCTTCTCATTCAATGTGTTTTCTTTATTTTCATGACTATTTACATTGTAGATTCTCACTGAAGGCATCAAAACTATGAATGAACACATGTGGAGTTATGTACTTAACAAAAAAAGGTGAAATAACTGAAAACATGTTTTATATTCTAGTTTCTTCAAAATAGCCACCCTTTGCTCTGATTACTGCTTTGCACACTCTTGGCATTCTCTCCATGAGCTTCAAGAGGTAGTCACCTGAAATGGTTTCCACTTCACAGGTGTGCCTTATCAGGGTTAATTAGTGGAATTTCTTGCTTTATCAATGGGGTTGGGACCATCAGTTGTGTTGTGCAGAAGTCAGGTTAATACACAGCCGACAGCCCTATTGGACAACTGTTAAAATTCATATTATGGCAAGAACCAATCAGCTAACTAAAGAAAAACGAGTGGCCATCATTACTTTAAGAAATGAAGGTCAGTCTGTCCGGAAAATTGCAAAAACTTTTAAATGTGTCCCCAAGTGGAGTCGCAAAAACCATCAAGCGCTACAACGAAACTGGCACACATGAGGACCGACCCAGGAAAGGAAGACCAAGAGTCACCTCTGCTTCTGAGGATAAGTTCATCCGAGTCACCAGCCTCAGAAATTGCAAGTTAACAGCAGCTCAGATCAGAGACCAGATGAATGCCACACAGAGTTCTAGCAGCAGACCCATCTCTAGAACAACTGTTAAGAGGAGACTGCGGCAATCAGGCCTTCATGGTCAAATAGCTGCTAGGAAACCACTGCTAAGGAGAGGCAACAAGCAGAAGAGATTTGTTTGGGCCAAGAAACACAAGGAATGGACATTAGACCAGTGGAAATCTGTGCTTTGGTCTGATGAGTCCAAATTTGAGATCTTTGGTTCCAACCGCCGTGTCTTTGTGAGACGCAGAAAAGGTGAACGGATGGATTCCACATGCCTGGTTCCCACTGTGAAGCATGGAGGAGGAGGTGTGATGGTGTGGGGGTGTTTTGCTGGTGACACTGTTGGGGATTTATTCAAAATTGAAGGCACACTGAACCAGCATGGCTACCACAGCATCCTGCAGCGACATGCCATCCCATCCGGTTTGCGTTTAGTTGGACGATCAATTATTTTTCAACAGGACAATGACCCCAAACACACCTCCAGGCTGTGTAAGGGCTATTTGACCAAGAAGGAGAGTGATGGAGTGCTGCGGCAGATGACCTGGCCTCCACAGTCACCGGACCTGAACCCAATCGAGATGGTTTGGGGTAAGCTGGACCGCAGAGTGAAGGCAAAGGGGCCAACAAGTGCTAAACACCCCTGGGAACTCCTTCAAGACTGTTGGAAAACCATTTCAGGTGACTACCTCTTGAAGCTCATGGAGAGAATGCCAAGAGTGTGCAAAGCAGTAATCAGAGCAAAGGGTGGCTATTTTGAAGAAACTAGAATATAAAACATGTTTTCAGTTATTTCACCTTTTTTTTGTTAAGTACATAACTCCACATGTGTTCATTCATAGTTTTGATGCCTTCAGTGAGAATCTACAATGTAAATAGTCATGAAAATAAAGAAAACGCATTGAATGAGAAGGTGTGTCCAAACTTTTGGCCTGTACTGTACCTGTGCATACATACAAATAAACAATAAACATAAGCAAAATATATATTTTGGCTCTTACAAGTCTTTTGAACCATTGTGGTGCTTTCACAGGTAAAAAAGATGTCCCTCCCTCAGCAGTCACCAGGCCTATATGCGGCATCATGGGAACTATTCGCCTGGTAGCAGGTAGGTACCGTGGTGACACAGCATTGTCGGTGCTTTGTTGAACATGTCTTTGAAGCCTATTAAGTAGAACAGCTGTGATGGACCAATTATACCACACAGGGATGTACCTGATTGTCATCACCAGGAAGAGGAATGTGGGCAGCCTCCTGGGCCATGCTGTGTGGAAGGCTGTGGATTTTGATGTGATCTCTTATAAGAAGACAGTGTTGCATCTCTCAGAGATCCAGGTCAGCAAGACTATTTACTCAGACTCTACAATAGACAGTGTTTCTTTGGAAAATAGACTTGTGTTAACAGTAGAACAGAGGGATATGGAGAAAATCAAATATGATATTTTTGACGCAGTACCTTGATATCAATATTGCAACAATATTGCAGAGTAGACTATCATTGCTGTCACAAAATATTTATACAATGAGATTTTTGATAAATAATCAGCAGTAATGTGGATATAATGCCAAATTGAGTAAAAACAAATAATAGAACAGCTAGAACAGCCTGGTAACTTCAGAAAATGACATCACTTTACTGCAATGCATCTTTTGAAACCAGGAAAAGACTATGCTTATGATATTACAATATCCAAAATCTATGACAATATCTAGTCTCATATCAATAATACTTGTAACTCTTTTATATACTGTAGAATTAGCCTCAGATTCACTTTGTTTTGCCCAATTAAATGCTGTTCGTGGTTTTTACTGATAGTACATTTTTTCCAAAAGGGGACTGTGAGGAATTTAGTCCATTAATAAATTATAGCTGTGTTTTCAACCAATCAGAGTATCACCTCCCATTCCCCTTAAAAGCCAGGTGCACCTGCAACTCTTAGGAATTTATGTGTCCCCTGAAATTGGGACCAAATCTGCTGGTTCAGAAATACACATACAGCAATGGCTAATATTTAGTTCAGTCTCCCCTGGCCCTCTTCACCTTAATTAGGCGCTTTTGTTAGCCATTAACAAGCTTCTGGATGAATCTTTGACCACTCCTCTTGACATAATCTGTGCAGTTTAACTAAATTTGTCGGCTCTCTGGCACTGACTTGTTTTTTCAGCACAGTCCACATGTTCTCCATGGTTTAAGTCAGGACTTTGGAAAGGCCATCCCAAAACCTTAATTCTGGCCTGTTTAAGCCATTCTGTTACCACTTTTAATGTGTGTTTGGGGTCAGTGTCTTCTTGAAACACCCATTTGCTACCAGGACCCAACCTTCTGGCTGTCGATTTTAGGTTTTCCTAAAGAATTTGGAGGTAATCTTCCTCCATCATTATTTCATTCACTTTCTGGGAAGCACCAGTTCCACTGCAGCAAAACAGGCCCAGAGAATAATATCACCACCACCAGGCTTGACGGTAGGCATAGTGTTCTTTAGGTTAAAGGCTTCAGCTTCTGTCTCTCTTGCTTGTTTTATCTGTCCATGTGATCAGCAGCAAACTTCAGTTGGGCCTTAAGGTGCCGCTTCTGGAGCAAGGGCTTTGTTCTTGAGCAGCAGCCTCTCAGCCCATGGCAATATCAAACACGCTTGAATGTGGACACATACAGCTGTGTTCCAGCAGCTTCTTATTCATTGCAGACCTGTTTTTCGTGGTTTTTGGTCGATTCTTGACCATCCTGACCAGTTTTCTTGAGCTGCAGGTGATGGGTTGTTTTTTTTTCCTGATCGTGCAGTGACACAACTGTGCCATACACTCTAAACTTTAAAGCAGTTGTTTGCACAGTTGATCTTGGGACTGCTGCTTTGAAATGCCTCAAAGAGACTTTCCTAACTTGTTCAAGTCAGTGACCTGCATTTTCAGATCCATGCTGAGCTTCTTAGACTTTACCATTGTAGTGTTTGAGGCCGAATCTCATAGGTGCATCAAACAAGTCCTATTTGAATGGGCTCAGATAAGTAACCAGCTGTAGTCAGTCATAATTACTCAAGAAGTTTAGAAGTTTTGGTCACATTCTCAGAAGATCCATAATAAATTAATAAAAGTTCCAAAATTCCTGAATGTTTTTTGAATCACAGAAATGTAAGAGTTTTAGAAATTATTGGAAACTCAAGACTGTGTTGAAGATGTTCTTTACATGTGTATGTAAACTTTTGACTACAATTGTATGTGGTAGTAGGGCTTGAATACTGTTAGTGGTACTGATAGTCCAGTAGACTATCACACTCTGTTCTGTTGAGTTGTTGGGAAATTCAGACAACCTGTATGGGTGTCTGACAGGCATCCAGTCTCTCTGAGTGAGACCTTGTGTTTCAGGATAAGTTATTCTTGGCAGACTGGAATCACACTATCTAATTTCAGAGTCACAGGCAGTGCATTATTAATCTGCTGCGGCTGCTATTCTTGGTATACTTACTGAAAGAGTAGCTTTGGCTGAAAACTGTGTGATTCATGGTAAAACACTGAATGCAGTGTAGAAATTATGTTCAGTAAGTATTACTGTAGTATAATCAGCGGTGAAACATAGGGTTGGGTACCGAAACTCGGTACTTTTTGTACTTGGTACCGATTCACAATTCACTTAAAATGAATCGGTGCCAAATTTCGGTACCTGAGGTGGAGGCGGAGCGAGAGCGCATGACTCGCACCTCAGACTCAGCAACAATGGCGACAAAAAAAAATGTGCAGACAAAAGTTAACGTGCACCACTGTTCCTAAATGTTCTTAATAAAATGTTGAAACTGAGAAGTGGCCCTATGGGCCTGAACGATGCATAGTGCGTCCAAATTCACACCCATTCTTCTCTGTGGATTTTCTCTGCGACCGTGCGTCATAGCGAGGAGCCACGCATATCAGCAGAAACAGCAGAACTGTAGCCTGTAGAAGCCGTATTCCCCATGCATGTCAGCGATTTTCACCGGGAACGCATACGAGTAATTCAGGCTGACATTACCTGTTTTTCAGCGAACTCTTCTGGTAATTTTATTAAAAGGCATGGCATATAGGTCCATAGTAGGCTAACTTATCATTATTATTATTATTATTATTATTGGGTCTTATAAGAGTGGGCTACAATGAGTATACCGGGCCATCAAATCACAGCATCCGCGGTGAGAGGACACGGAATTGTGTGCGCTTTTACGCACGCGGGTGTAGGTGATCACGTATAATTGATGTGGGAAAGATGTAGCCAGATGTATTACCTGTTTTAGATACGTGGTTGTCTGTCCGTCCGTCCGTAGCACGAGTCATGTGCACCACTTCACCACCGACCCGTGCGTAAAAGCGCAAACAGTCCCTCAGTCCCTCACTGTCCCTCCTTGAGGCAATGAATGAGGAAATAATCGCCCTGGCGTTTAATCGGACCGGCGTTTAATACGCAAAATGGGGTCAAACCCCCAGCGGCTATTAGGCCTAGGTGCCTGGCAGCTATATGCCACTGGGTGACTATTTGGAAATATACAGTATGTGACAATAATCATATGTGTATAATAACAGTAGAAGTGTGACTAATGATAACAGCAAGCAGTAGGAGGCATCTAGCAGGACCACGGCAGCTCTTGTAGGCTGAAATCAAGAGGATCACATTAACCAGTGTGCAATCATCAGACTTGACAATTATCACGGGAAAACAATCTTTGTTATATCGAGATAATGAAATAATAAGTCGTTATCAAGAGATAACAGTGCACACACACACAAAAAAATACATGGCCGTTCTTGTCTTCCGTAGCTATGTTGTCTGTGTAATAATACGTCGGTTATGCCCAGGTATTGAATCAAATGTGTTTTAAGACATTTTTGCTTAGTTCACCTAATTGTCTATTTGTCTCATCGTGTTTCATGGACACCGCAATGAGAATAGTGCTGTTTCAGCTCATTTCTGCTCACTTTTGAGGACTTCCGGGTCTGTTTTCCTCTGCTGAATGAAACCATGGCGACACGAAATGCGGGTACCTTATTGGTGTAGCGCGGTCACGTGACGGCCGTGCCACCACTCGCGTACCAAATCTCATTATGCTCAGGTGGAACTGATCATTACATTCAGACGGAACAAGTGCCGAATTACGACACCGATCACAGGACTCTTGCGGGGTTATCAGCTACAAACTCCCGCTGATTAGCTGAACATGTATCGATCTTTTTTATGAAGTAAAGATCGTGTAGTCCCCAGATGTCAGAGCGGAAATCAGTTTCTGTGAGACTTTTTCTGATTCACCTTACGGCCTAAGTGACTCTATCGAAAATCTGGTCTCACTGTTCACAAAGAACTATACATAACTCACCTGTTACACTGTAAGGACTCAATCGCCCAAACCAAATCAAATTACTACTCCGGCCTGATCTGCTCCAATGAAGGTAACACCAAGACTCTTTTCTCACTCCTCAACAAAATTCTCCAACCCCCTGACTCTCTGCCCCCCCACATGTACTCATCTGAAACTGTAACTCCCTTATGCACTTCTTCACTGACGAAATTTACAAAATTCACCAGCACTTAAGTATTGGTTGTCTATCTCTCTCCTCCTCTGAACTTCTCCCCCACTGTCAGCCATTCTCCAGTTTCCAACTCCCTGACGCATCTGAAATCTCTGACCTCATCCTCATGGTTTCCGCCCCTCCCATAGCAAAGTACTGCTCTACTGAAAATCACCAACGATCTCCTCATGGCAACCGATTCCGGTTTACTCACTATTCTCATCCTCCTTGATCTGAGTGCGGCCTTTGACACTATTTCTCACACCATCCTCCTCAATAGACTATCCTCCATCAGCATCTGTCACACCCCCCTGGACTGGTTTCACTCATATCTCTCCAGCCACACTCAGTTAAGATAAGATAAGATAAGATAAACTTTATTGTCCCGCAAGGGAAATTCGTCTTGGGCAATTTAGTGCAAACAGCTGCAATATTCACATACATACATACAATCAACATCAACATAGACAAGTTGCCAACATAGTGCGCTGAGTGTGTTACAGTTGCAGACTACTGTTGCAAGAGTAGTGCAACCATTTCCCTTGTTTGTAAGGTTACAAACAAGGGAACTACAAGTATAGCACTGGCCTATCACAAAGTGCAAGTGAGTGCATATAAAACAGATAAATATAGAGATCAAATAAAAATACCAGTATACCAGTTAAAATTATATAAAATCAGTTGCAGGACCATAGTGCAGATAAGAACAATACTAGATAAGAACAACAATAACCAGACCATTTAGGCATAGATAACCCTGCGCACATACGGCTCAACCAGGGGGGCATTGCAGGGCCAGCAGGTGAGCAGGC